TATATATAATGGAATACTACTCAGCAATGAAAAAGAATGAAATCTTGCCATCTACCACAACATGGATGGAACCTTGATGGTTTTAAACTAAGTGAAATAAGTCAGGCAGAGGAAGACAAATACCATATGATTTCAATTATATGTAAAATCTAAAAAACAAAACAAATAAATAAACAAAATAAAATAGAAACTGACCCATATACAGAGAACAAGCTGATGGTTGCTGGAAGGGGTGGGTGTGTGGGTGGGGGGCTATAACAAAACTTCCAGTTATAGCCCTGGCTGGTGTGGCTCAGTGGATTGAGTGTTGGCCCTCAAACCGAAAGATCACTGGATTGATTGCTGGTCAGGACACAAGCCTGGGTTGCAGCCAAGTCCCCAAGTGTGGGCATGCAAGAGGCAACCAATCAATGTTTTTCTCCCTTCCTGTCTCTTTAAAAATAAGTAATTAAAAACCCTTCCAGTTATAAAATAAGTAAGTATCGGGGATGTAGTATACAGCACAGGGTATATGTCAACAATATCATAATAACTTTGTATGGTGACAGATGGGTATTAGACTTATCACAGTGATCGCATTGTAAAGCGTACAACTGTTCAATCACTATGATGTTATACACCTGAAACTAACATAATGTTGTATGCCAACTATATTTTAATTAAAAAAAAAAAACATGGGACCTTTGTTGCACAGTCAGGTGTGTGGTGTGCACGTCATGTGGCCTGTAGGTGGGGACGCCTGGCCCGGGTACACTGCAGAGGTAGACAGCTATGGAGTGATGCTGGGGCATAGGGACACCGAGCCAGGGGAGGCTGGCCAGCCCCAGGGCACCTTCAGCTCCCCCCGCCCAGCTGGAGAGAAGCAGGGAGTGTGCAAGGTGAGGGAGGGGGTGAGGGCATGCCTGGTACTGGGTGTGAGGCACACGTCAAAAGTTTAAACATGCAGGTTAAGCCCTGCTATAAAAAGAACATACATTAAAAAAAGAACAAAAATAAAAACAGTTCAGATCTAACCACAAGTGTGGCAGCTCCTGGCTTGGCCTTGCCTTCTGCTCCCCAGCTGATGGGGCAGGTTGGGGCGGGCTGTGCCCTTCCTCTGGGCTAGTCTGATCCGGAGCTGGGAGCCCAGGGAAGGAGGGCTGCTGGCCATGTTGGGTCAGTGGGTTCATCTGGCAAAAAGGCAGAGACCTGGCGGCTGGACTTCTGGGCCCCAAGGAGACGAGGGGTCAGGATCTGTGTGTGTCAGGAACGAGTGTGGGTCGTGTGTGCCCATCCATGCCGGGAGGCACGGAGCAGGAGAGAGGTTGGAGGCCCCAAGGCCAGGCCTGGGGGCCTCTGCACTGCGAGGGAGGGGTAATGTAATCTCTGAGTCACCTGGGGCTCAGATGATCCCTAGACTTCTGGGTTTTGTCCCTGGTTTGTCACCACTGACTCACAGGCTGCCTGCCTGGGAGTCCCCTGATCAGCCTGCTGGTTTCTCTCTCCCTCTCGGTGTGTCATGGAAGCAGAGACAGCTTCTCTGTACGCTGTTGTCATCAGGTGTATGCCCCGCCCTGGCTTCTTAGAGGAAAAGGGTGCTGGGTTCCAGGACCCTCTGAGGTTGTCACCAGACAGGTAAAAAGCAAGCAGGCTGGGATGACCCCCCCTCGCCCCCTGCACCCACTCTGCCCACTAGAGACCAGGCCTGTTCTGGCCCTGGGCCCAGTGAACTGCTCTGGGCGTCTGGGGTGGCCCTGGGTTAAGATGTGCCCTCAGTGAAGCCCCAGCTTTTCTGAGGCTCCATCATTCAACAAAGAGCAGGGCAGCCCTCCTGTCTCTCTCCCTGCAGTCAGCCCGCCACACTGGCACAGGTACCTCCCCACAAGTCAGAGATGGCCAGGCCTGCCCTTACTCAAAGCCCATCCATGGCTCCTGTGTCCCCGAGCTCCTGGGCTGGGTGCTGGAGGCCTTTCCTGACATGCTCAACTTGCTTTCCAGTCCAGTTCCGCCACCTGCCCAGCTCCAGGCCCCTCAGAGGCCATGCCTGTGCCCCATGCCACCCTTTGGAGAAGTCTCTCTTCATAAGCTTCTAAGCTTTTACCTGCCCTTCAGGTCTCCTTTCCACCTGCCACTTCCTCCAGGAAGCTTGCCCTGGGCCTCGGGTGGAGCTAGACAGCTCCTCTCCTCTGGTGCCAGGAGTTGCCTATGTAGATTGTGAGTCGGGGGCTCGAGGTCAGTCACCAGCCCAGTTCCCTGTTGAGCTCCATGCCCAGCCCTGAGACTGGCCCAGTACAGGTCGTCAGTACATTCTTTGTGAAAGAATAAAAGAAGAGACAGCCTGCCTGGTGTGGCTCAGGGGTTTGAGCGCCATCTTGTGAACCAAAGTATTGCCTGTTCAATACCCAGTCAGGGCACATGCTTGGGTTGCTGACCAGGTCCCCAGTACAGGATGAGCAAGAGGCAACCACACATTGATGTTTCGCTCCCTTTTTCTCTCTCCTTTCCCCTCTGACTCAAAATAAATAGTGTTTTGGAAAAAAAGAATAAAAGAAGAAACAGATGAAGAGTAATGAATGAAGGGTAGGTGTAGAGGACAAACGCCAGAATCAGGCAAGGCAGGGTGTGGATCCAGGCCTTGTCATTATTCTGGTGGCCCTGGAAGGTCACATCAGCAATCAGAGCCTTAGTTTTCTCACCTCTAAAATGGGAGTGATAATGCCATGCCTAGTTTTGTAATTATTTCTTTTAATACTAAGGCAGCTAGCCAAGTGCATGCCCCATAGCTGGTGCTCAGAGAATGTGTCCTGAGAGCAGATGAAAGGGGGCCTCCAAGCTGAGGAGAGGTGGGCTGGGCAGAACTGACTATACCATCAGATTGGAAGGTCTTCAGGGATCCCCTGGCCTCTCCTCCACAGCTTCTGGGAAGTTGAAGACACAACCTTCAGAGAAGAGGGCTGTCTTGAAGTGAGGTGGAGGGGACGGGGTGGGAAGGAGGTCTCATGTCTGAGGCCTGGGACAGACCTCTCTGAGAAGCAGGGAAGCGTACTGGGAAGGGCTGGGTAGCTGGGTGGGATGGTGAGGAAAGCTAAGGTCATGAATGAATATGGGGTTTTTGAAATCACCAGACAGAAGTTGGAGTTGGATGCACCAATTTGAAATCTCACTCCCATCCTCTCTTTAAGTCTCCTCCCCTTTCCCCCATCTGAGCCCCTCTCTCTAAGCCCATTCACTGAGCTCCCAGCCCCTCAATCAGCCATTCCTTCTCCTGAATCCATCTCTTGTCCTTCTGTCATGTTCCCGGAGGTGCCCTCTCTGCTTGGGCCATGGAACTCCAGCCAGCAGGCAACAGTGGGCCTTGCTTTTCTCCCTTGAAGATTCTCCAGCCATGGCCACCCTCACCCTCACCTTCTCCTTGAGCCCACGTGGGGCCCAGCCTGGGGGCAGCACCGGCTCAGCCAGTCTGGCCGGCTGGGCGGCCAGGCCTCCTGTGCAATCAGGCGTGTTATTAGCATGTCCAGTGCCGACTGAGAGGATGGCTACTGGGGCTGGCAGCTGGACCGAAGCCGCAGGGGCTACCTGCTGAGCCTAGGGCCAGGCCTCCCTTTCTGAGCCCAAGGCCCATGGCTTTCTAGAGCCTGTGCTGGGCCCGTTGAACCCCCGTCAGGGCAGCCAGAGGGATCTCAGTGGGCCCAGCCTCCGGGGCCTCCACTGTATGTCTTCACCGAGCCTCCTACTGCCTGGGAGGGAGGTGTCGTCATCCTCCTTACCCAGATAAGAAAATTGGTTGAGAGAGTTTAATTCTATTGCTCAATGTCACAGAACCGGTAGTGGCACAGCTGGGACTTGAACCAGGGAGAGTTGGGGTTATTCCTTTGAGAGCCACAGAGGGGTTGCCATATCCTCCTATAAATTCTGGAAGTCCCAACCCTGGGGCCCAGCTCTCCTGGCGGATGGGAAACCCCGTTGCTTCCAGAGCCCTGCAGGAGGTGGCTGGTCCGGACCAGCCGGCTGGCTTTGGAATTGTCTGCCTGCTTGCTGTACGATTCTAGGAGGTCTCTCTTCTGGAACAATTCAGTGAGATGGCTCTGAAGTGACCTTGTGACATAATCTTTACCCTCCCGGGAGACTATGACATCCCATTGCAGATTATTTACTGAAATTTTAAAGTGTTTTAATGTAATGGCATTTTAGCCTGTGTTTGTGGTCTGAGAAGTTAGTGAACTTCTGCAAAAATAAATAGTTTTGAGCCAATTTCTGGGCGGACTAATTTTTGAGCTGAGAGTGAGACTGCTTCTTTTTGTTCCCCAATTTTATAAAGATAATAGATATATCCTTAAATATATTTATAATATTTATTTTCTTCTGATTGTGTAAGGATCAAAACATTCTGTTTGGTGAGGAGGATTTGGTAACTTCAAATTGGCACCGGCTCCCCTGGCGTCAGTCTTCCTGTTCTCAGAAGATAAAGAGCAAAGGTCCCGAGACCCGAATCTGCTGGGCCGCTCCCCTACCTCTCAGAGAGGTCGGCTCCAAGCCTCAGCCAGGAGACCTCCTTCCTACCCACCCAGCCGCCTGCCCCACCTACCTCACGCCAGGTTCTGAGATTCTTCTGGCTGCCCTGGAGGGGGTCTGGCAGGCCCAGCACTGGCTCTGGGCTCGGGAGGCAGCAGGACAGCTCAGGGCTGGATGGGGGAGTTTATCTGCCTCTTTCCTACGGATGCCTGGGGAGGGATGCCTGAGGATGCAGGGCACTGAAGTGAGTATTGTACTCTGATCAAAAATTTGGCTGAGCTCAGGGGTTGGGGGGATGGGCAACTGAACAGTCCTAGATCTCGCTTGATGTGAGCAGGACCAGAGCTGAGATGTGGCTGCTTTGTGCTTTGAACTGGGTTCCATCTTCCTCGTGATACTAAAACCTTTTCAACTCACAAAGCATTTTTGCTTCCTCATCTCATTTCACATCTGCCTTACATAGGGAGGGGCAGTCATGTCTTTGTTTTATAGAGGGAAGTAAGATGGTTATGGGGTGGGCAGGGATGGGAGCACCGGTCTGGTGGGGAGAGGGCTGTTCTTGATAAAAACCAGTACGTATGATACAGTCCTATTGGCATAAGATTATATAGGGTAATTTGGCAGGAAGAAAAAGAAAATGCTAAGAAAAAGAAAGTGCTAAGTCTGCCCTCTCTGCCCCAAAGCAAAGGTGATGAATGGCAGACACCTTGTAAAGTATCACAGTAAAAGTATGTCTGAGCAGTTGGGAGGGCCAGGCTCCAGAAGCCAGATTGGGTGCAGGAAAAGTGTCTGGGCCTTGCTGGTATTTTTCCTGTGGCAGGTGGGTGGGACTCAGCCAGCAGCTCCTGGAATAAATCAAGTAAACAAATTTCTCTCCCGCTCCACTCCTGTGCGGAGCCGCTCACAGCTCCCCCAGGGCCCCTCCTGCTCCTCCTTTACACCTGAGCTCCCTGCAGACCCCCCCTGCCCTGGGCCTGCACTTCGCCTGATCCCCTCCTGCACCTGCCCTCCTCCTGGCCCCTGCCCCTCCCCCACCTCTGCTGCACTTGGCTGCGCTGAGCAGGGAAGGACAGCTTCTTAGTCACTTCTGTTGGGACACAGGTGAAAAGGTAAGGGGCCTGAATGCTCCCCCACCCCGATCCCACTTCTGCTTTTCTACGTGCCAATTGGCTGTTTCCCAGAACAACAGCAGGAAGTTGGCGAGATGGGGGAGGACGGCCAGGCCATCTGGCCAACTCCCTTCTGCAATCAGAAAGCTCGCTGAAGGGCTGGGACAGCAGGTAAGGATCCTCTGGGTTAGGAGGCTCCAGCGATGGAGCCCCCACCCCTCTCTGGGCCTCAGTTCAGCCATTTATGCAAAGGCAGTAAGATTCTGTGCCCTGCTTACTGACAGGGAGGCTGTGATGAATTCATTGCAGGAAAGCACTTATTGTCAGTCCCTAAGGGTAGTTGTCCCTCCTGTTCAGCCCACAGACCTCAGTGTGTGCCGTTCCTCAGAGCCTTGTAAGGTGAGCCTTGTAAGGTGAACCCAGGGAGGTGTGGTCCAGGCAGAAACCATCCCTGTTTGTGTTGGTGTGTGTTCCTAAGTGTGTGGGGGGAGGTATGGGAGAGTGGGGGCGGACAGTGGGAACATGGAGAATGACTTCTGCATTATTGAGCACCTACTATGGGTCAACCCCTGTGCAGAGCTCTGAAGTTAAATAAGGCACTGCTTTTGTCCTGCAGGAGACCCCAGCCTTGCAGGGGAGATGAATGTGTTTACAAGACCTCAACTCCCCCACTGTGCTAGATTGTCCCTGCCAGCCTTGTGTTTCATTAGGTGACTCAAGTGCCTCCCATGTGAGGAGAGCTCACAGATGGCTTCAGCCCAAATCACGCAAGCTTAATGGTTCTCTGGCAGGAAGCTCAAAGTCCTCGTGTATCTGTCAGAATCAGTTACCTCAGGGTCCAGGCAAGGTGCTGGATAATGCTGGGGGCTCAGGGACATATTGGAGCTGACCCCTGAGGCACCCCACCCCGAGCATGATGGGGAGGAAAAGCATGCACTGACCATGTGGGTAAAGGGTTCCCTTGATCCAGCTGGGATGAGCCTCGGCCATTCTCTCTCACCCCCACAGCCTCCTTCCTCTCGGTCTCCTCAGCCCCTTGCCCTGAACTGGGCCCTTCCTGATTCTGGACCCCATGCCCTTCTTTCACCCCCATCCTATTTCCAGAGATACCTTTCTAAAAGGTGTGTGGAGCCCTCAAACTGGAACCCAGTGCCCTTGCTCTTCCCAGAGCCTCTGTGCACAGCCCCAGGGCTTGGTGACGTTTGAGGCAGAGATTTTTGGCCTTTTCACTCCAGCCCCTCCCCACTCCCCTCGTCTCTGGTCAGACTGGATTCTTCTGGTTCCCAGAAAAGCTGCATTTTCCTGCATTGGGGTACCTGTTCCCTTGCAGTTCTCTGTCCCAGGATGTCCTCCTCCACCCAGTTCTGCTGCCTCACACAACTCCAGAGGGACCCATTCATGACGATTCCTGTCACCAGTGCCTTCTGCAGTGTAACGGCAGAACGCAGTGCCCCTTCTTTGTCAAGCTTCCTCCTCAGAACCCCACCTCCACCCTGGTCTGAGTTTTCTCTCCCCTTGAAGTCTCATGGGACTTTGCACCCATTCTAGCTTTATCTGACACCTACTCTGTGTGTCTCCACAGAGTAAACGCCCATTTGCTGGGCTGATGTCCCGAGAGTCCGGCCCTTAGCGAGCTCTTAGTGACCCCTGCCCAGCTCTGGCCAAGCAGGTTAGCCCTGGTAGGAATGAAGCCCACTGGACATTTCCAGGACAGGCTGCCTTCTCTTTGGCCGAAAGGGCATCGCTTCCAAGGCCCCCTGCTCTGGCAGGGCTGGGAAGCCGGTGGCGATGGTGAAAGACGGGGAACATGGCCGATAGACCCAAGAGTCCTGTGTCCCAGCTTCTCGTTCCCCCAAATTGGACCTCATCAGGCCAATGCTGAGACTACTGGTGAGGCAAGTGCATGGTCAATGAGAATCTTAATAGTAGTGATCAGGCCAGTGATGAAGATGATAAGGATGCAACAGTAATCAAGGTGGGGCTACTCTGACTTTCCCAGTACTTCATCCTCACTTTCAACCTTCCTGAAGGACCCCACCCCTGTTTGCCCAACCAAGCCTGGTATGAAGGATTCCAAGGGTGTGGGGACCCTTGTCTTCACACCCTGGACCTGGCCAAGCCTAGTTGCTCCCCTGGCCTGGCCACTTCCAGGTGCTCCTGAGCCGTGACTCAGAGTCTGACCTCAGCATGGGCCTGGTTGCCAGGGGAGAGGGCAGTTTCCTATGAGATTGTGACTCAGGGGCCCAGGGCTGGGGACTTAAAGTGCCTTTGTTGGCCTGGGCTCAGGAATCCAGAGAAACTGGTCGAGGGAAAGGCCTCAGGGATGAAACCCCGCCCCCTACCTCCCCGCCCCTCCAGAGAGCCATATAACCGCCCCAAGCTCTAGCTTGTGAGCCTGTGGCACCTATCTGCACGGCAGGAAGGAACGGGTCTCGTCACACTCTCTGTGCTTGTGCTTCTGACTCTTGGGAGAGACACTCCGCGGCTGCTCCAACTCACTTTGCCTTCGGACTTGCAGTGAAAGGCCTCCCTGTGGACGGAGTGTCCATCCTCAGCACTTGGATTTCTACAGCCCCCAGGGCCAGATCCCCAAAGACTTCCGGGTCCTAGACGCCAGCAGACACTGAAAGATGGCCTCCATGGGGCTACAGGTGATGGGCATCGCGCTGGCCGTGCTGGGCTGGCTGGGTGCCATACTGAGCTGCGCGCTGCCCATGTGGCGGGTGACGGCGTTCATCGGCAGCAACATCGTCACGTCGCAGACCATCTGGGAGGGCCTGTGGATGAACTGCGTGGTGCAGAGCACCGGCCAGATGCAGTGCAAGGTGTACGACTCTATGCTGGCACTGCCACAGGACCTGCAGGCAGCACGGGCCCTCATTGTCGTCTGCATCATCGTGGCCGTGGTGGGCGTGCTGCTGTCTGTTGTGGGTGGCAAGTGCACCAACTGCGTGGAGGATGAGAGCACCAAAGCCAAGATCATGATTGTGGCGGGCGTGGTGTTTCTCCTGGCTGGCCTGCTTGTGATGGTACCTGTGTCGTGGACAGCCAACACCATCATCCGTGATTTCTACAATCCCCTGGTGGCTGCTGGGCAGAAGCGGGAGATAGGGGCCTCACTCTACATCGGCTGGGCGGCTGCGGGTCTGCTGATGCTCGGCGGGGCCCTGCTCTGCTGCAACTGCCCACCTCGTGCCGACAAGCCCTACTCAGCCAAGTACTCTGCTGCCCGTTCTGCCCCTGCCAGCAACTACGTGTAAGGTGCTGCCACTCAACTCTCCCTGGACTGTTGACTGTTTCTCCCTGGACTGAGCTCAGCGCAGTCTATGAACCTAGGTTGGCCCTGCCATGGTCTGCAGGTTGCTGGGGGATGGGCAAGCAGGGACTGAGACAGGCCATTGGCCAGTAGCCCTCAGCTCCTTCCGGCCCTCTTGGACACCTTCCTAAGGCCTCCTCTACAATAGCAAGGATGGACTGAGAGATTTCTGAGCCACCCTCCTCTGAATGGCCTATGGATGCAGGGGAGGGGCAGGCAGCAACAGGGCACGGCAATGGAGTGGGGGGCTGGCTCTTGCTGGCCAGGACAGCTCAGCCCTGACTGCTTGGACTCTGAGTGGGTGCCCTGCCCATGCTTGTGTTGGCCACTGTGCCCTTCTTTGATCTTCCCCACTCCCTCTGAGTGCATCCAGTGGAAACCTGTGGCCATGAAAATGGCTGGGGCCTCCCTCATCCACCTGCCTGTGCAGCAGAGTTGACAGACAGGTTTAGGAGGGAGGGGTGAAGGTGCTACAAACTGGTTTGGGTAGTGGTGGGGGAGGGGGCCTCAGAGGAGGCCCTGGCTGCAGGTACTGCATCCCACCCACCCTGCAGCCTCAGCAGGAAGACTCTGGGCCCCTTGAAACTGGTCTCCTCTGGATCTGTCAACCCTGTGAAGGTCATTGGCTGGCCTGGGGAAGGCAGGGGGAATGATCTTTCTCTAGCCTTCATCCTAGTAAGTCCTGGAGCTTTTTCCTGACTCTGTGGTTTGTTTTGTAATTTAAGATCTATTTGTCATGGCAATTACTATTATTTTCTACAATAAATAGGACCTGTTCACAGGAAGACTCTGTATGTCTCTGGTTTCAGCCGTGGTGGTGGGTGGGGCAGGCTGGAGGGGGTCAGTGAGGGACAGGACCTCTGTGTCGGGCCTGGATGGGAACACTTGAAACAGGTTTCATGAAAAAAACTGCAACTGGCCTGACTCTGGAATCACCTTGTTCAAACTCTCCATTTGTCAGAGGGTGAAGCCCATATACAGGCAAGTGTGTGCCCAGAACCCTGGTGAAGTGTTGGGGACTCCAAGGGGGGACAGACAAGAACATCCAGCCCTGGGAAATGGGCCACCTGTCCTCTCCCAGTTTGTCCCAGCTTTGTCTGGGCAGCCAGGCTGGTCTGCTCACCCTCCAGGCCCCACCTCCCGGCCTTTGCTTAGGCTATCCCTGCCCTTGGCCTGGAATGTCCTTTTTCCTTTCTCCACCCCTCGGAATCCTGCTCATCCTGAAGGCCCAGCTGAGAGCCTCCTACCCCGTGAAGCCTTCCCACCTGTTCAAGACAGCGTCCAAGCCTCACCCTGAGTTCCAATCTCTTTGGAGCTTAAGTAACCAAGTCCTGGACAGGTGAAAGTGTTTGGCCAAGCACCGATGCTGGAGTGGGGCTTTCCTGTTTGGTGAGTTAGAGATAAGAGAGCCCATCACCCTGGGAGGAGTCAAAGTCCCATCTGTGGCCCTTTGGTGACTGGTTTAGGGACAACCTAGAGTGGGGGTCCTCTCTATCCAGTTTCTCACTTCTGTCCTCCACAGGTACAATGTCACTCTTCCCTGGGGCAAGGAAACTATAGAGTCAAAACCCTGTCACCCCTTCTGGGGCTCATTTAACAGGAAGAGCTCTCCTGAGGAGCTGGGCTGGCGCAGTGGCCCTGTTTTACAGATAAAGGCCCAACAACGGGCCTGACTGCGGTCACATGGAGGGTCAGAGGCCAGTTAGGGGCTGAACTCTGGTCTTCACTCCTTCACCAGGGTCGCCTCCTGCTTTCGGTATAAGTAGACAATACCAGGGATGTAGCCATCACTGTCAGAAGTGCCAGGCACCTCCTCCAGCTTGGAGGTAGCCAGTTCCCACCGGTCCACAGGCCAGGCCACCAGGCGTTCCCACTCCCTGGCCTGTTCCAGCCTGTCCAGAGTAGCCTCCATTGCCTCCTTGTATTGAAGGTTGGATGAGTTGGCCCTCGTGGTCAGACACACCAGCCCACCTGGAGAGGAGTAGGGGAGAAAGAGGTGAGTGGGAAGGGACAGGAGCCGAAGTTTCAGGTTAATAGTTCCCTTTCCTTCCAGCTCATGTCCTCAAGGACATAAGTTCTCCCAACTTGTCCCCAGGCCAGCCTCTTGCTATCTCCAAGCCTTAGGTACTGACCATTCCCACCCCTGTGAATACCCTGTGCTTCTCCAGCCCGAGTGCCTACAACATCTGATTTAGGACCCACGAATCCTTTATGCTGGGAACTCTTGTTTCCCTGGACAGAGGAGGCTCCCTCCTCACCCAGTCCCTCCGCTGGAGGATATGGCTGCGGCTGGATGCACAGGACGGAAGCACATAGCTTTGGACCTGTTCCTTCACTCCCATGAGTCTGTTTCCCAGCTTGTAGAGTGGGGTTAATTAATGACTCTGTCTCAGAAAGGCCGGTGCAGTCGGTAAGCCCTGGCTGGCTGAATGAATGAATGAATGAATGAATGAATGAATTCATCCCTTCGAATCTTTTCCAGGCACCTAGAGTATGCTGAATGCAGGCTCAGATACACCTAGGAGATTCTGGTGTCTGAAAGGTTGCCTGGAAGAGGGGTGAAGAGAGGCGGTGGAGAGGGGCTCTGTGGAAGGAACGACTGTGAAGCAGGGAAGCCTGCGACATGCGGGCAGGCAGACAGGGCTCTGGCTAGCCGCGGGGTCTGGTAAGCACCGGCTGGGCTGAGAGGCCTGATCTTTTCTGGCTCAGGCAATGGGAGTTTCCTGTCCTGAGCCCAATCACCATCTCCTTCTCTGACCCCACCGATGTCCCTGCATCTGTCAGCCTCCACGGTTCCAAGGCCTGCCCAGACCTGCCCAGGCTTAACCACAGACCCCGCAGGGAGATATACTGTTGCCAGAATAGGGAAACCTTCAGAGCTTCCTGCTCCTGCCCTGCCACCAGGTCAGGCCTCACGATCCTCACACTCCACTACTCTCCCTTTTGCCTGTATCTTCACTTTGGCTGTATCCCTGTGTGGAATGCCCTCATTCCCCATCCCAGCCCTAGAAATGCCTCTCTTTGAAATCTTGAGCCCTGAGCACTCATGGCCCTCATCAGCCCACCTCAGGGGGGGCAGTGGGCCCTGCAGTGCCTGCAGCCCAAGTGTTTGGGAACGAGGGGCATGGTGGGTGGGTGATTGAGCCCAGAGGGCAGGATGTGTACATTCTCCCCAGAGCAGAGGGAGGCACAGGGCAAGACACACAGTAGGAACGCAGTAATCAACCCCATTTCACAGATGAGGAAACTGAGACCAGGAATGAGTGACTCACCTAACAGCTGTCCAAGAGTTGGTGAGGAAGCTAGAAGGTGGGAACTGAATTGAGACCCTACTGCATGCCAGGGCTAAAGCAAAGGCCTGAGACATTATTTCACCCAATTCTCACAGCAATCCTATTAGGGAGTGACTACACCACCCTGCTTACAGATGGCACGGAGGTCGAAGAGAGTGGAGTGGCTCCTGGTGGCCTAATGCATAAGAGGCAAGGGGGCCACTTGTCTACTCTGCCTGTTTGCCTGGGTCAGTGGCTGGTGGCTGGAATGTTAGGCTAGGCTGTGTGACCCTGGGCAGGACCATGCCCCTTGCTTGGCCTCGGGGATTCTGAGGCTTGTGTCTTTGGGTGTGGAGAGGGGAAGGTGTGTGTGGGCTGCTTCTCACCTGGCTTGGTAACTCGCAGGAGCTCAGGAATGGCACTGCAGGGCACCTGGCCATCACTGAGGGCACCCACTATCAGCACTGCGTCATAGGTCCCTGTGTGAGGTATGCAGATGTGGCGTGCTGTTTGTCTTCAGTGTGGCCTCAGACCACCCTGGAGGATAGCAGCCACCCTCCAGGGGTCTGGGGAGGGACCAGAGATGCCACTAGGGTCTGCGGGACCCAGATTTCAGAGGGAATATGGCAGGTGTAGCCCAGTCCTAGACTAAGGTCAGGTCATGGGATGGAGGGATCAGAGAGAGGGGTTCACAGGGCCTCAGAGAGGGTCTTAGTGAGGCATTGGGGGCTTCTTAGTGAATGAAGAGAGGGTCTTCATTCACTCAGAGGTGAATGAAGGCTCAGTATGGAAGGGGGCTCATAAAGGGCTCAGCAAGGGAGGGGGAATGGAAGCTTGGTAAGAGAAAGGGGTGCCGTCAAGGCAGGCTTGGTCAGAGGGTGGGCCTTGGGGTGTTAGGGTAGAAGACGACATACCTTCCGGGCTGGGCAGAGGCTCCTGGCCCAGGCTGCAGAGGCTGAGGCGCTGGTAGAGGCCGCGGGCCCGGGCCCGTTCCAGCATCCCTGGGCTCCCGTCTACCCCATGCAGCTGGAGGAAGCCCCGAGCCTGCAGCTGGGATGGGAGGACTCAGTCATAGTGCACACCTGCCACCTCCCAGCTGCGTCCCTGCACCTCAGGGAGGGCAGTGGGCCCTGCAGTGGATGTTGCCCAGGTGTCTGGGAACAAGTGAGCCTTGCGCCAGGAGCGGCAAGAAATTTGAGCAAGCGGTGGGATTGAGAGCAGATGACCCGGGGAGACCTCACCTCGACGGCCACCAGGCCGGTGCCACACGCCACGTCCAGGATCAAGGCAGTGTGGGGTGGGCCTGGAAGGGCTTGGGTGAGACAGTCCACTGCAAGGTGGGGGGCACGGTACTGCAGGGTGGCCACATCCTGGGAACAGAGTGCTGAGCTGACTACCAACCTAGTGTTCGGGGGACCTCAGTGTGGGGTGGTCTAGAAGTTAGCCAGGCCAAGCTGTGTGTGTGTTTGTGTGTGGTGATGTGGCAGGACTGAAGAGCCAGTCCCCAGCCCACTGCCGAGACCTGCTCTGCTGGCCGAGGCAGTGCTCTGTGCTTAGTCCATAGTGACCCCTCAATGGCATCTCCTTCAGACTGGCTGGCCTTCTGCCCGGCTGCAGTCCCAGAGTGGGGAGGGAGGTCTTGGCCCCTGATCTCTAGGGGCTGCCACTATGGAGTGTGGGGCTGGTCGGAGGGCAGGGCTGCTGTGGGTGGGCAGAAGGGCCAGTCCGAGAGAGGGGACAAGACTGCAAGGTTGTGTCCAGGTCTCACTTCATTCTCACAAGCCGCCTTGGGATGCAAGGCTGTCTATTCTCGCTTTACGGATAGGAAATCGAGGCTGGACGAGCAAGTGAGGTGGAGGACCCCGGCGGGTTTACCTGGTCATAGTTCGAAGCCCAGAGGTCATAGAAGTGCAGCTTGTCGGTCAGGTCAGTGAGGCGGTGCGCGGCCCGGACACGCGCGCAAACCTTGGACAGCCTCTCGCCCTCCTCCTGAGCCATCGTCCTGCTGGGACACGGCCTCCATGTCCTAAGATCCATCTCAATCTCCGCCCCCCACCTCTCCCACCCGCCATGCCCAGCAGAGGCCTTGCAGACCACCGGCACAATCCCATTTCACAGGCGGGGACGCTGAGCAAAGAGACTGGACACCTGGGGTTTAGGGCTGGAGAAGGGGTGTTCTCGCGGCGGGAGGGAGGGCTTGCACCGACCTCCCCGCCTCCCGCCGCCGTGAGAGGGTTTCCAAGGCGGTAGGAGGAGACCAGGTCGGGGGTCGGAACTCACCTCCAGTTCGACCTTCGGGAACTGTGGGCGGGGAATAAGTGGCGACCCTGGCCGAGCCCCTACCGCCCTCGACGATTGGCTTTCTTCTAAGAAAAACTGACCAATTAAAAAAAGCTCTGGCCATCCGCCCCTCCACCACCAGCCAATGAGCTCAAAGTTTTGGTCCTCCTTCCACCTGGAAAGATCCGTTTGACAAATTTTCTTGGTAGTTGAGTGACTGTGGCTTAACGAGTTTTCTCTGTGCCCTCGCGGCTTCCCGTGTTCTTTACGCTTCCTAAAAAACATGAGCTGGAAGGCAATGGGAGCCCCTGAATTCTTAGGGGCAAGAGAGGGAGCTAGGATCAGCCTTTATTTTTGGAATGCTCACCAAGGTCTTGGCAACACTGTGCAGTAGGGCTTTTTGCAGTGATAAAAAAAGTTCTATAATGGGTGCTGTTCAGTATGTTAACCACTAGTCACCTGTGGCTGTTGAGCATTTGAAATGTGGCTAGTGCCACTGAGGAAATGAATTTCAGATTTTATTAAATAGCCACCTGTGGCTAATGGCTGATGACGGCCTGGGAACCTTACTCCTCAGCCAGTGGTCCGGCGGTTTGCAGGCTTGCAGCATCTGATCAGCGTGTTTAGCTAGGATGTCCCAAGGGAGGGCGTTAGGGGAGCTTGTTAGAAATGGAAATTCTTGAGCCCCAACTCAGCTCTACCGAACCAGAATCTGATTCCTGGAGTGTGGAAGTGGGCTGGGGCCTAGAAATCAGCGTTTTAACAAACTCTTCAAGTGATTCTATGCAGCTAAAGTTTCAAAGGCACTAGCCTTAGATTCCTTGTAGGGAATCAGAGTTTAGGCAGACAGAGTTTGGGAGGCTGTTGCAATTGTCCATGCAGATGTTAACCTAAAAATGGAAGGTCAAAGTGGGAGGCAACAACTGTTGACATGAGATCAAAAAAAAAAAAGCTGTTTTGGGGGAGACGCACTGATTCAGGAAGGAACCCAAATAGTGTTCTGATTAGGGAGTGAAGGCAAAGGATATTTATGACAAAGGAAAGGGGAATAATTACATGAACAGAAGGAAGGACTTTCTGTGGGTGTTAATAAGCTAAAGAAGAAATTTCTACAGGTACAAGTAAGCTAATGCAGTGATTCTAATTCTAAAGAATGTCTCTAATTTTCAGTCTGGTAGTCATAACGTCTGTTAGTTTTGCAAACAGTTGTTTGAAATGCAATGCTGCTTTAGGTCCAGGACAAAGGTTATTTTGTCCAATTTTAACATTCCAAAAGTTTGAGAAGACGTGCAAGGCAGTTTCTTCAGGAAGGCAGCTTCAACTCCTATAGTTAAAAACTATAACATATAGTTTTGTGTAAGTGCACTCTCTGATGTTCACACAATGACAAAATTGCCTAAGGACATATTGTGAAGTGGCTCCATTTAGAGTATTGTCCCACGGAACAACATTTCTGTCAATGGTGGACCACATATACTACTCTTATATACGGGATGGCCTAGATGTTGTGGAAGAAAAGGGACTATCTGTGAACCCTGACAAGCACAGGGGATGCCTCCAAACCCAGAGACAAAAAGTAATCACATAGGATGGTCTGAATTTAGAACTTTCTAACGAGAAGCAGTTCATGGCAGGTTCTAGTTGTGTCCTAGGCTGGTATTTTTCCCTAATAAAGATCAGTCTTCAGCTTAACGAAGCCTGTCTGTTGTCTTTTTGCATCTATGATTACATACCCTTAGAATGTCAAATTTCCTTTTTCCTCCAGACTCCTCAAAGCACAGGCACCACTCTTGGGGGAGATCATAAATCCCCTTATTGTTATTGTTGTCATGTTAATTGTTGACTGTTAACTATCCTGTACCTACCTATGTAAAAGATGTGTCTTATCATTTACTTTTTGTCCAATTCCAGAGGTTTCCTCACATAGCTTCCTCTTGCCTCCCTAATCTGTTACCAATGGATTTCAGGTAAGCCATTTACACCTCCTCTTTTTGATTGTAATGTATAAGATAAGGTGCAAAATTGCCATTTTCTGGAGCATTTCCTTTTCTTTAAAAAAAATAAAAAGATTTTATTCATTTATTTTTAGAGAGAGGGGAAGGGAAGGAAGAAAACATCAATGTGTGGTTGCCTCTTGCATGCCCCTTACTGGGGACCTGGACCGCAACCCAGACAAGTGTCCTGACTGGGAATTGAACCAGTGACCCTTTGCTTCGCAGGCTGGTGCTCAATCTGCTGAGCCACCCCAGCCAATGCTGGAGCATTTCTTAATCTGTTGAGACTTTGTTTCCTGGCAATTGTCAGTTTGGTCAAATAAACTCACAAAAATTCTCTACAGGTTTGAATGTTTCTTACGTTGACAATGTGCGGTACGCTATAACATATAGTTTTGTGTAAGTGCACTCTCTGATGTTCACACAATGACAAAATTGCCTAAGGACATATTTCTCAGAACATATCTCTGTCATTAAGTGTCACAGGGACTGTATATATTTTTCACAGTTGTATGAACTTGGGTAGAGGTCATGGCCATGTGTAACGGGGCACAGCCAGGGCCCCGCAAAGGGTACTTGTAACAGGATCCAGAGATTGGGGTGTCCAAGAAAAATATATTCTCCTCACCCCAGGGTAGGCCGCAATGGGGGATGGGAGCCTTGAGCAGGGCCATTGAGAGTCATTTTGCATGTCAATAATAGGATAGCTTCATTCCTCATTTGCAAAAAGGGTTATTTTGCCTATCATGAAAGCTAATCAGAAAGGTTAAAAAAGACTTAATACAGAATGTAACTGGGAGAGAGGAGGAGAGACAGGGGACTGCAGGAGAGACAAAGCGATAGAGACTCTGGGGAACAGTGTGAAGACCACGTGGGAAGAAAGAGGGGAGGAAGGACTCTTGCTAGTGGGCCATGAGAGGGTGCCACATGGTTATGGATTAAGAGCTGGAGATCGTGGCATCGCAGCGGATGGTGCTGAGAACCGCGAGAGGCCTGCCTAGCCGAGCCCCGGACTTCTGTTCTTTTCCTTCTGAAGGACGGTACCCCTGACTGGCCTAACTTGACAAAGTTGGGGAAGGCAGGACGGTGTGTGTGCTGGTGATTGTTTTAAAGGGATTTTGAGGTTTAAGGGTGACATTTAGCCATTAATCAAACCTGTATAACTTTTGAATAAATAGTTCCCTTCTTTTTCACCCAACTCCGCCATTCAGAGCCATAATTCCAAGGGCGGCGGGTAAAGGACCTACAATCGAGGGACCCTGGGGAAGGGGGGTGTCGTTTCGGTAATAACATCTGGACATCCGCCCCTGCCAAGGGTCCATTTGTTCGGTAACACAGGGAGAGGAGTGGATTAAGTTCAGAGCAGTTTAGGAGGTAGAAGTAGCAGGGCTCTGATGATTGAGAGTGTACGGCATGGGGAAACAAGATGTCAAGAGTGGTACCAGGTTTCTGCTTGAGCCATTGTGTAGTAGGCAGTTAGACACGAGCAGAGTAAGGAACTGATAGGCCAGGATGTCATCCAGGGCAGAAAGCCCTGGTGCCTATCAATGAGCAATTGTGAGGTGAGACCTCGTCCCTCCCACCCCTTACACCGCCACCTTTCCTGTAGCATATTATTGGTCATATGGTTTAGGCACCCCCCCTCCCCACTCCTAAACATTTCTTCCATAAAGATAACATCTAGGCTTCAGCTGTATTTCATCTCCAGGCCCAGAAAAGCAACAAAACAAGGCAGATGACTCAATGCCCTGGCACTGACCAATCAGTGGAGGCTGATAGAGATCTGATCAGATCATTGGGGAGACTTAGGGAGGGGCTCTAAGAGGAGGTTGCTGGAGGCAAATGGTAAACAGTTCAGGATGGGACTGGCTGAGAAGCTGAATTCCTCCAGAGTGTGTGGAATTGTGGACCAGAAGATCTGAAATAAAAGAAGGGCTCTTGGGCTTTCTGGCTCTCTTCCTCCAGGATGCATGGATGATTGTGCCTGCAACTGCCTGCATTTCCCAGTGGATGGTATTTTGGATGGGAAGAAACAGTGCAGCTAGGATCAGGCTGGTCTGGCAAAGGGTGGCAGGGTCTTTCTTCTTTGGGTGTTCTAGAGGGGACAGGCTCGGAGGCAGAATCCTGCCATTCTCCCCAAATTGTGTAGCTTTTGTATTTGTGCTGTTTTAGTTTGTAAACTAACCCTATGGAAATAAGATAATTAAAAATTACCAGGAAATGATAGGAGAACTAAGGTATTAAATAGTTTAGCCTTAATTGATAGGTTTAAGTAATTAAAGCTGTAACCAAAGAGTTAAAGAGTTTAGTCTTAATCGATAGGCTTAAGTGACTAATGGATGTGGAAAGCTGTTTTTTCCAAAGTTGTGAAACTTGAATAAAGACTCCTTTCCTTTATCATCAAACCTTTGCCTCTGGAATTTTTGCCTAGAGGGTGGTGGTGGGCAGCAGGACCCCACTTGCTGTTTGGTAACAAGACCATGGCTCTGAAAGGGCACATCTGGAAAAGCTGATTAATATTCTATTGAGATCCTCCTCTAAGATCTCCCCTAAAATCTTAGTCTTTAAAACCCTCAAGCTGAAGGACCTAGTGTGTGCTTTCCCTCCTAGGCTCATGCCTGTTCCTTTCCCTTCCCCAACAGGCATTCATCTCCTAAACTTTAAGGGACCCCATAAGACTTGCAACCATGGGAGCAATGGGTAGGGACAGCTCACCCAGGGCTAATCCCCGAACCTGTTTCGAAGGCCCTCTTCTCTGACTCTCCAGTGAGCATACAGCAGCCCCATCTTGGCTGACTTCTTTCCCATAATATTTCTAGAGAGCCAAAGCAGCCCTGCCTCGTCTCTCTCCTGTTGCTTCATGTATCCTAGGCCCTTGCCCATTTCAGCAGCTCCCTTGCTCCTTGCAATAATCCAGTACCTGAGGGGGAAGGGAGAAGTGTTAATCACCTTGATGGATCAGTGCTATGACCCTAGGGGGTGGGAAGCTGTAGCTTCC